ACTTGAATTTTGACTAAAAAATCGGTATTGAGATTTGAATGCCAGATTATTCTAGAGGGAAAACCATGAACAAAAAGCCCAACCTCATGAAAATCAGATGAGTTTTGACGGAGTTATGGGGGTGGGAAGTTTTGACCCATGTCTGTATACGAATCTGGGGATAAGATTTGGACTTGAATTTTGACTACAAAATCGGTATTCAGATTTGAATGCCAGATTATTCTAGAGGGAAAACCATGAACAAAAAGCCCAACCTCATGAAAATCAGATGAGTTTTGACGGAGTTATGGGGGTGGGAAATTTTGTCCCATGTCTATATAGGATTCTGGAGGTAAGAACCGAATCTGGGGTAAGATTTGGACTTGAATTTTGACTAAAAAATCGGTATTGAGATTTGAATGCCAGATTATTCTAGAGGGAAAACCATGAACAAAAAGCCCAACCTCATCAAAATCAGATGAGTTTTGACGAAGTTATGGGGGGTGGGAAGTTTTGACCCATGTCTATATAGGATTCTGGGGGTAAGATGTGGACATGAATTTCGACTAAAAAATCGGTATTCAGATTTGAATACCAGATTATTCTTGAGGGAAAACCATGAACAAAAAGCCCAACCTCATTAAATCAGATGAGTTTTGACGGAGTTATGGGGGTTTGAAGTTTTGACCCATGTCTACATATATAGGATTCTGGGGGTAAGATGTGGACATGAATTTCGACCAAAAAATGTGTGGTCAGATTTAAATGCCAGATTATTTTAGAGAAATAGCCATGAACAAAAAGACTATCCTCTTGGAAATCGGTTGAGTATCGGTCATGTATTGGGGTGGGAAATTTTGAACTTTACCTATATTGGATAAAATACAAAAAACTTTGGCATTGTCCTTGATACGTTGAAGATAAGTGCTGTCAAAGATTTTTAAAAATTATTTTATACATAGAAAATTATTTTATATATTTATTAATATAAATGGAGCTAGTCTGTTTTGGATAACTTTAATATTTGATATATGTATGCCACAAAGAGATAGGTTTTGGCCATGTTTCATCAAGTTGCCTTTAAGATAGAGCACTCTTTTGCATGGAACTAGACGGTTTCTCGGACTTGGCTACTTAGCCTGGCCTTTTGAGTTCTCCTCAAGAATATATATTCCCTATAGACTTTTAAGAAGTTCTCTCTTCAATGCGCCAATTTAATAATTATCCAACAACAAATTTCAATTGGGGGCCAACATTTGCAGCTCTGCGCTTCACAAATATTACGTATACGTTTACATTCTCTTTTTGCTGATTTTAAAAGCTGACGAATGTTTTACAATTGCGAGCACATCTTTATATAGAAGTACAAAAGGTGTTAATTAAATATTTCAATTCAAAGACAACCGATTACAACAGCAACAACAACTACGACAACAACAACAACAATAAATACGAGCGTAATTTTCAACAAAATCTCATTAAGTGGCTCTCGCTGAAGTAGCGCCAAGCAGGTGGCATTTAGTGCTGACAGCAACAGCAGCAGCAACAACAAATGGAACAAAAAACAAGCGAGCGTGCTCTAGTCGCGTATGCCCAAATAGGAGATACCGTGTAGCCCGCAGCGAGCTACCATTGCAAGCCTTCCAGCTAGTTTAACAGGCAGACATCGATTAAAGGACACATACACACACACACACACATATATATATATATATACATATTAACAAACACACACACATCCCCATAGCTTCTTCTTTCCTTTACCTTACATATATGTGGAAAATGCATTAACTTGTTTAACTACTTGCTTTCTGTCCGATTTTTATGATATGTTCAGTGCTTAGAAATTGCAGACATATGCGTGTAAGGATTTTTTTACTCTTACCATAAATATGTATGAGATCTTTGTGACTCCATTTATAGTTGCCCAGTTAGTTATCAGCGGAGTAAAAATCCCCAAGAATGGCTACCCACAATGGGTCCAGCTCATCGCACAGCCTTTGAACTGCCACCTAAAGGACTCGAATGGTTCGGCAGGATATAGGAAAAGTGTCTCTTTTAGTCGCCTCGTACGACAAGCGATGACATGCTGTGGTGGTATTCTTATGCCCGCCAACCACACGGGCGATCAAAGCGGATTAAAAATCTGGGTGGAACGGGACGTAGCTGAGAAAACTCTAAGATTGCTTACATTCTAAATTTGACGATTCTAGCTCTTCCAATTATCGAGTTGCGCTCAAAAAAACGTACTTCGATATCGATTTTTATCGACGCTTACAAATAAATTCGTTACCTTCTGAATCTAGATAGAAGATTTAGATTAAGGTAGAGAATCTTAATATAAGATCTAAATATAAGAAGATTAAGATGGAAGATCTATATATATCCGCCTAGCTCAACTCTTGATTTCAATCAAGTACAATCAATTACCCTTTAAATTTTCGGATCCTTCTGCCTGTTATAAACATTTACACCAAACCAATCGACCCTCCCTGGTCCTTGCCAAAGGTTTGAGGGTATGCAAAAAGGGGCAAAACCAACAAAATGAAAGGCCAAAAGGAAAAGCGTAGCAAATAGAGGAAAAGTTGATTTCGTTTTTGCACTCAGCTTGTGCATTGTTTCGCCTAAACATTTTTTTGTTTTCAGCTTTAATTGTAGTTTTGTGTCTGCGCTGCTTCTTCTGGTTGTTATCCTTGTTATCCTTGCCGCTCGTGTTGTTGTTGTTGTAATTTGTCGCTATTTAGCATAGAAAATGCGATTAGCGCACAAAGGTTCGATTGAAATTCAAGTGCTTGCCGCAAATAATTAATTCGCTGCCAAAGCCAAAGCCAAAGCCAAAGACGGAAGCCAGCCGAAGGAAGAAGCAGCAGCCACTCGGCCACATCTGACAGATGTACATCATTAATGTGCGCTAAGCAGCGGCTGCAGCTCCAATCTCCGCGCTGATGACACTCATTAACATAAAATGTCCACCTTTGGACGTGGCCAAAGCTGAGGCCCCACCTCTGCCATAAAACCAGCTCACTTTTCACACTCATTAAAATGGACGAGAGTCGAGCGTGATAAGCAGACGGGCTGCTTCTTCTTCTGTGTGTGTGTGTGTGTGAGAGAGAGAGACAGAGTAAATATGTATGTGTGTGTGTCTATGTGTGTGTAACGGACGGGCAATAACTGTCCGCGTCCTGCAAGTCCAAGGCCAGCTTATCTCGCCCGCAGGCTTGAAGTCAATTTTTGCGGTCGACGTTGACGCTGACGCCGACGTCAGCAGCACCACTCAAATTTCAAAAGATACGCGCGTGTGAACCCTTTTTGCAGTTGAGACAAGAAGAAGAAGCAACGACAACGACAACGACAACGACAACAAAAAAACACATTTAAATATAATCTATTATCTTAATTCCGACACAAATTGTTTGCTGCCGTTCAGCTGAGCGTCTTGCGCTCTGCCCGCGTTGACAGCCGCGTCTTTTCATCCCATTTGGTGCTGGCTCTAAAAACGAACAGCAAGAGCAAGTAGAGTACTCGAGTCGGGAATGTACGTCTATGAGATACCCTAAGCCCTGCTATTACAAAAATCCTAGAATCCTTTTTTCGGGCTTCTTTGAATCAGCTCTAAAACTCGAACAGCACAAACAAGTAGAGTACTCTAGTCGGGAGTGTAGAAGATACATATATTATGGCTTTCTTCTATAGAAAACACACCTTATAACGGGCTTTTTCCACTCAGTTCTTTGTCCTTGCCCTATTTATATCTATGCATATCTCAACTGAATGATTCGTCCATTATACCCTTTCTTGACCACTTTCAAGGGTATTATAAAAGCCCCAAATAATTCCAAATGCCATTTAGCGGCGTTGACTTGTGCACCCAGCGCATAGTCAAGGACTTGAGCTGCCTAGCAATTCAAATGCCAACGCAGGACACACAGGACAGCATGAGACGAGGCCAGGGCAAGTTGAAGCGGGCAAGGGCAGGGGGCAAGGGGCAAGCGGCAGCCGCTGAAAAGCAAACGCTTATCGGCCGCAACGTAAATCACCCAATTTACCATAAATAAAGATATGTACATATTGTCAGCGAGCAGCGGGGAGGGGGCAGCGGGGCAGAGCCAGAGCCAAAGCCGCAGACGAAGCCAAAGCCGAAGCCGCCACCAAAACCAAAACCAAAACAAAACACCTTATCGCTGGCAAGCACATCTTTAAGTGCCTGTCAACGTGGTTGGGCGCAGAGCGCAGGGCGAGGCAGCACACCGTGGGCGTAGTTAGGGGGGTGGGTGGTTGGGTGCTTGGGCTGGCTTCCTTTAACCGGTGGCTACTATTTGCTGCCGCAGGCATATGAATCTGCATGCATGAAGCTGCAGTGCTGCCAAGTGGCCAGCATATTTAGCCGTAAAATGGCTGCAACAAGAGATTTCGCACTATATAAAATATATATTTCTTTCTGTATTAGAAAGAGCTCAAATTTACTTAAGCTAAGCACAAAATCGCTCTTAAAAGAATGAAATGAATTTCAGATTAAATGCTAAAAATAATAAAAATATCAAAGTAAAACATTTAAATTTTTAGACCACTTACACAAGCATTAAATATATCGAAAACACATTTAGCCATAAAATAGCTAAAAATGTACGGTAAAAAAACAATTATGCATCAAATTCATTTAATCAAAAGAGTATTTAAAATTTATAGAACAAGAGGCAATACATTTTGGCACATTCAGAATTTAGTGTCCCTTTTTTGCGCAGAGTAGCTAAAGAAGGTAAAGAGTTAAATTCAGTATAAAGGAAAATGTATTTAAACTCATTTCAGCCTGTTTAACGATAGACTATTTGCTTTCGTCAACACTCTAAAAGCACCCTGTTTAGTTATTTCAATGCCCTGCACCCAAGCCCCGACCCCCGATCCCCGAGACCCGTTCATCAGCTGAAAGCCTTCGCTTGCCTGCTTTGGCTGTCTTGGGTTTATTTTGCAAAAGCAACATTTTGCTAGCTGCGACACGCGATTCAACATCTACTCCTTTGCAGGCGCCACAACAACGACAAGTGCGAGAACGAGAACCCAAAAGACGACAGAAGCAAATCGCGATTATGACGATGATGACGAGCACAACGACAACAACAATAACAACGACAAGGAGCAGCAGCAGAAGCAGGCGCAGGAGCAGAAGTCAGAGCAGAAGCAGGCTGAAGCTGAGGACCACGAGCTGGTTGGCAGGCCGCGGGCAAGTCAGAAGCGTGCAACACAAACGACACAATCGCGAAATCCCATCAGACGCGCTCACAGCGAAAGGCATTTGTCTGCCGCACCCAGCACCGACGACTCCAGCGAGTCGAGGCCACAGCCTGGCCAGGCTCGGAGTCTGGCTGCGGCCAGTGGGCCGCAGAATGTCATTTTAAATTTTAAGGACACAATGGCGCTGCGCATGAAAAGCAACCGCAACGACTCGAGAGATTTATTTCAAAGGCGGCCCACAGAGCCACCACCGCCGCCGCCAACCGCAAACGGATTAGAGAAGCAACCAACACCGCCGCCGCAAATCAATAAGTCAACTGCTCCACGTCAGCAAAGGACCGTGGTGCGTGTGGCGCCCTTCAACCAGAGCAGCGAGGTGCATCGCCTGAAAATCTCGCACAGCGAACCGGATGGAGCGCATCCCCTGGAGTACAATGCCACGGCCGCGGCCACACGGCTGCTGCTGCTCTCGCCCACAGACGTTGGGCCGGATGTGGCGCCCAAGAAGACGTCGATACTGATTAACGGCGACGATTGCTACTCGACAATGAACCTGAGCACAGATGCCGCCCAGCCGCTGTACCAGTCCTCCGTGGTGGTCAATAGCCAGTCGGCGACAGGCGTCTGCATCAGCGTGAGCAGCGCCGAGGAGCTCATCGAGCAGCACAATCTACTGAATACGCTACGCACTCAACAGCAACAGCATCTGGCTGCGATTATTCCCATTCGTAGCAGCATTGGTGGCGAGGTGAATTTGCAGCGTTCCGCCTCCTGCATATCGTCCACCTCGAGCAGCTCGACGTCGAGCAGCAGCAGCTCTAGCGGACGCGGCCGCACGCTCATCCGGCTCGACTATGACAAAGATCTGCCCACCAGGCAGTTAGCGGCTACCACAACCACGCCCATTAATACACCACCGCCCACAATCTGCTCAACGCCAGCCACGCCGCCGCCGGCGCCGTCGCCGACCTCACCCGATGCGGAGCTGGTGCCGCACGAGACGGAGCTGCTAAAAATTCTGCGCAATCCCGTCGAGGCTGTCAAGCGCAATCTGGTGCCCCATGTCTGCGGCTTGAGGGTGCAATCCGGCCTAGAAACGACGCGCAACAAGAAAATACAGGAGACAGCAGGAACAGCTGCCACGCCCACGAAGGAGGCGAGCAGCTTCATAGCCAAGCTGTTGCAGGATCCGATGCTGGGCCAGGTGGCCGACGGCCTGGAGACGGACACCGTCGCGGAGCTCATCGAGAACTCGCTGCAACGTCTGCAACGAACACGGCAAACGATCGACATGAGCGGCACCAAAGATAACGACGACATGAACCGGCTGATCAGCGTCTCGCTGCAGCGTGTGCGCCTGGAGCGACAGCCCGGGGGGACGAACGGCACCAAAGAGGAGGACGACCGGTTGTCGAATCGCGGCAGCATCAGCTCCGCCAACAGCTTCGCCTCCGCCCACAATTACGAGCTGTTCGACTTTGAGGCGGCCGCCAATGAGTCCGACTGCTATCAGAGCTGCTCCAGTGAGCTGGCAGTTGCCGGAGCACTCGAGGAGGAGCAGGATCAAACGGAGACGGAGCCGGAGCTGGTGTCCTCACCGGAGGTGGATGCGTCTACGCGCGCCAAGTTCTATCAGCTGCTGGTGGATGCAACGCTGGCCGAGATCGAGCACAGCACGACACACACGGAAGCCGAGCACCATTACGAATCCATACGCCATCAGGTGGATCCCATTTACGAGGAGATCAACGAAGTGCCGCCGCCGTTGCCGCTGACGGCGCCGCCGCTGAACGACGCCGAGCTGGACAAGAAGGCGGCGCGCTCGATATTCGAGGGCGCATCCAAATACGATATACTCTCCTATTTGGTGGACGCCAAGGAGCGGGGGCTGGTGCGCGAGGAGAGCTTCGACTACAGCAACAATCCGAAGATCATCGAAGAGGAGGCCGCCGACACGCTCAGCGAGCTGGAGAAGCGCGTCAGCCACAGCGACGATAGTCACAGCAATATGAGCTCCCTGTCGCCGCCGCCGCATAACTTCATCTGCGGCAAGAGCGGCAGCGATGTGGAGCGACAGGACTCGGGCGTCGGATCCGAGACAAGCAAATCCTCGCGCAGCAAGTACCAGCTGCCGGCGGTGAGTCCGTTGCACTTGTGCGAGGATTGCGACGGCGCCGTCGAGACGCAGCTGAGCGAGGCGGGGGTCCTGTATGCGCCGCTCGTGTGCCGCAAGTGCGGCAAGAAGCGCGTCGAGCGCAAGGAGATCATCACCGAGATTGTTGAGACGGAGGAGAAATATGGCCGCGACTTGCAAATCATACTGGAGGAGTTCTGCCAGCCGATGCTGGTGGCCGGCCTGCTCAACCAGGAGCAGCTCTCCGCAATCTTCCTCAACACGGAAGACTTGCTCGAGAACAATCAGACACTGGCCGAGCGTATGCGCGATGCCCTTGACATTGCTTTGGAGCAGGGTGACGACGATCTGCTCACGGTTAATATTGGACGCATCTTTCTTGACTTTACCCAAATGCTGCACGCCTTTGAGAGCTACTGTGTGCGGCAGGCGGGCGCCAGCCTCTTGCTGGCGAATCTCGAAAAGGAAAAGGAGCTGCTGCGCATCTTTCTCAAGGTATCCCAAATGGAAAACGCCGTGCTGCGTCGCATGAATCTCAACTCGTTTCTCATGGTTAGTTCCTTTCTTCATCTTTTATACTCATGACTAGCCCCTAAACGTCTGTTTCCTATTCTCTCCGCTCTTTCTCTCTCTCCTTGTCGCCCATCCTCCAGGTGCCCGTGCAGCGTGTCACGAAGTATCCATTGCTGTTGGCGCGTTTGTATAAGGTGACGCCCGCCCATTTGGACGGACGGGAGCTGCTGAAACAGGCGCAGGAGAAAATTGAATTGCATTTGAATCACATCAACCAGGAGGCCAAGGATGTCCCCACCAAACTGTGGCGCCGCATCAGCTCCTCGAGCCCCAATCGGCGCGCCTCATGCGAAATTGATATGATAAACATCAAGCTGCGCAAAATGGCCATCGACATACTCGAGTGGAATCACGATGAGGTCCGTTTCGCCATGGAGGGCAAGCTGCTCTATACACAGCCCGCCGACAGCAACTGGAAGAAGGCGCGCACCATCAAGCTGAACCCAGTCAATGCGCTGCTCGTGACCAATGGCAAGGTGAGTAGAAGTCGTAATTTAGAGGAAACAGAGCTGGCGATGTGATGGCCCAACAACTGCGTGAGTCACGTTCAACACTTGCCACAACTGGAGACTGATAGTTCGAAATTAACATGCAAACTAGCCAAGGAACTAATCGAGGCTTTGATGTATCGGAATATTCGATACCAATAAACCGATAATTCCCAAAAATGTTCGATTTATAAAAGAATGTTAATCATTTTTATAGCTTAGCTTAGAATATTCATTTTTAAAGCCTTTCCCGAGAACTAGCAAATATGATATACACTATTGGGAAATTATAGGGAAACGTCTGTCTTTTGTTGCATGATTGCAAGTAACATCCAATAAAAGAAACATCCAAGAAAGGAATCAATCATCCGAGAAAAGGAACATTTATAAAAGGAATAACCAAGAAAATAAATATCCAAGAAAAGAAACATCCAAGAAAAGGAACTCTTAGGGAAAGAAACATTCAAAACACTTCCAGAAAAAGAAATATCAGAAAAAGGAAGCATCCAATAGAAGAAACATCCAAGAAAATACAAATCCAAGAAAAGAAATATCCAAGAAAAGAAACATCCAAGAAAAAAAACTTTCAAGAATGGAAATATCAGAGAAAATAAACATCCAAGAAAAGAAACATCCAAGAAACAAACCATCCAAGAAAAGAAACATCTTAGAAAATGAAACAACCAATAAGAAAAGCATCCAGAAAGATACAGGAAAAAACAACCAAGAAAACAACATCCAAGAAAAACAACATTTAAGGAATGAAACATCCAAGAAATAAAGAAACATCCAGTTAAGCCCGATGAAAATAGCATTCACAAAAATTGACTCATCGATGTTTCGATGTTTTTTTTTTGCCAGAACTCTGTAAAGCCTTTTGACAGGTTGCATGGCACGAGTCCAGCTCTAAGCTTGCAGTGCGAGCCTGTTACTTCTGCTCCTGCTTCAGCTATTCCTGGTCACGTTTGACAAGCGACAAGCGCCAAACGATGCTCAGGCGTTTGACATGAGGTGTGGACAATTAGCGAGCGGCGCTTGTACCTAATAGACACTCCCCCCTCCTGCCACCTTCCGCTCACTACACCTCTTCATAGGATCACGCCTTCTAAAGTGAGGGTGAGAGTAAGAGTGGGAGTCGGAGTGGAAGTGGAAGTGGGCACTCGTGCCGAGCTGATGTCATGGCAACAGTTTTGCCGTGCGATAAAAGATTTCAACAAATCAGACCAGAGCAGAGCATAGCGGGCGGAAACGGGGAGGAGCGGAGGGGATGGCCCGTTGACGCATCGAGTGGAACGGAAGCGCATCCTGCCTGTCCTAATGAAAAGTGCTTATCCAAGCAACTATCTGCTTTTGATGCCTAAAAACAAAACGAGTTTCCATTCGTTGTCGACGCAAAAAAAAAAAAAAAAAAGATAACACAGGCAAGAGGGTGCTTGAATTGGGAGTGGCTGTCCAGCAGATACCCTGTTATGGTATCAATAAACAGATGAAGATATGCAGCATGATATCGGCGAATCAACATTTATTTATTTTTTGTCAAGCAAACCTCATTTATAATGAAAAATATAGTCATATTCTTGAATCGATATTTATCGATTATTTATTAAAAAGCAGATTAAGACATACCGACTCACATTGTCGAATCGATATTTATCGATTTTTGGAAAACAGAGAGAGCCATCAAACAAAATCTCAAAGATATAAAAACTCATATTCCCGAATCGATATTGATCGGTTTGCAAGAAAATATGGAAACAATCGTTGTATCGATATTAGTTGACTTTTGGAAACAAGAAGAAGGCATTAATTAAAATGACTAATATATACGGACTCATATTCTCTCATCGATAATTATCGATTTACCGAAAATATGAGAGCAATCGATAAAAGTAAAATATATTCCGAATCGTATGCACAACTGCAATATACCCGATTCAAGCCAATTCTATTGGATGCAGGGTATACAAAACCGATGGCGTCAAGTGGCCCACAAGCAGACTACCACAAACCCAAAAGGCCAACGGGAAGTGGAATGGCAGGCGTGTGTGTAGAGGGGGGTGGCACATCGATGGCGACGCAGTGCGTATGTCACTTGTTTGGTTTTTGTGCCCTGCTCTAAATTTTTCGAAAAAGCCTCAGCCGACAATTGCTCAATTCAAGAACGAGGCAGTTTTCTTTTTCTTTTTTTTTTTTTTTTTGTTGTCATTTTTCTGCTTGTAGCTGGGCTGTAGTTTTGGTGCTGTATCTAGTTCTGGTCCGGGCGCTGCTTCCTGCGGCAGTTGCAGCCCGACTGTCCGGGCGACTGTCCGACTGTCCGCCCGGCAGCCTGACAGGCTTTGTGTGCTCGCGCTATCTGAAGTCAGGCTCCATCTTTCGTGCTGCCCACACACTTTGCCCGCTTTCCAGCTGTAATTTTGTTTAGTTTCGTTTTACACAATTTTCTATTTCTATTTCATTTTTTCTTTGTTTTTTGTTCGCCAGCCAAGTGCCAATTATAGGGCAGAGAAGGCCACGTCGGATAAACTGAATTTCCCGAAGCACACCGGCATTCGGGAGGCCTCGCTGCTGCTGGTGAAGGAGAAGTGCGGACGGTATACGCTGACACGGGAGCCCTTGTATCTGGACAGATGTGTTGTGTGCAGCGAAGCGGATTGGGATGATTATTTCGAAGTGCAGGAAATTTCATCGAAGGACACATTCATATTCAAAGTGAGTAGACGCCAGCTAGCCTAGCCTTGCCTGGCTCGCCCCTGCCACTTGCTCCATTCCATTCGAGCGCATAGTTTTAGACCGGTTTCGTTTCGGTTTGATTCGGTTTGCATGGCCCGTGCCAGTTGACTTGACTCTTAAATGGAACCGTTTGCCTTTTGACTGCACACCGGCAAATGTTTGGGCTTCGTTAGTTTTGCCCCGTCGTTTGGCGGGCTTCCCTTCTTTGCCGGCAGCTACAGGGTTTAGCTTTAGTTGGGTGTAAGTTTCAATGTGCACAAGCAAGATGATCCTCGCAGGTAAATAGAGCAGCGGGAATACAATTAACACTCGACGAAAGCTCTTTAAAAGGCGACTAAATATCTGGACTAGAAGGTAAACGTTTTGTCTAGACTTGGTATGAAGGAGTAGACTATGGGATATGCACAGATATACACTCTAATTGAAGGTTTAACTGAAAGCTATTAGCAAAGCTTTATACATTTTTTCATGCTTAGCATTTAAGATTGACCAGCATTATATATTATACACTACCCGAGCTTACGCAAATGACAGCTTGTTTCAGTTTAAGCAAAGCTAGCAGCTAGCTGGAATACCTCAAGCAAATATTATCTATAGAATTTAAAACACACACAAAAAGCACACACAACGAAGAGCTGTCAGTTGAGTAGCATACACTTGGGGGCAGAATATTCCGCGTTTAATATGCTACAGATTTCATTTTTAATAACAGACACACACACACACACACACACACACACACGCACTTTGAAGCGTATGGAGAAATCCATTTGAAATCCTGTCTAATGTAAAACGAGCCGTAGCTTCAGCTTCAGTCATGCGTATTCTGGCCTGGGGCAATGTGTAGTAGTTTGGCGTGGGGTGGAGGGACGAGGCGGGGGAAAAGAGGGCGGCGCATAAATTCTAACGTTTAGTTACGGCCAACTGAGCACACACACACACACACACACGCAGACACACGTGACACCTGTCTAAATGGCGAGTCAATCAAATATTTCCAACATTTTGACAACATATTCTCCCCCCCTCTCTTCACTGACAGGCCGAGGACGGGCTGCGCACCAAACAGTGGTACACGCAGCTGCAGTATCATGCCCAGGGCATGGGGGCGTGGCGCAAGAGGCGGAACGCCCTGGCCAACATAATGATCAATGGGATGCTGACGCGCACTTAGCCAGGAATTCGAGGAACAGCAAGAGGAAGAACAACAACAATATTCGCAATATCAAAATTGATGCAGCAAAAGTGCATTTAACAAATTGGCGGCTTAATTTGTATTGATGCGTTATTAACCAGCAAATTAAATAATTATAATTTAAGTGATATATACACAATTTACAATAAATACACCTACACATACCAATCATTTAGATACACACACATTATATATATATATATATATATATAACACCCTATAACGACACAATAAATGCATAAATAAATATATATATTAATTACTCGTTAAATTGCATTTTAATTGAGTTATTAAAACGAAACGAGGCGAAACTATTGTGCGAAATTCTTTAGAATCTTAACATTAATAGTTTATGGCTGTTTAGTGTACGCCAGTCGCGTCTGCGCGACTGGCAGTTACCCTGCAAAAAACAGCCTTTCACATACACAATAATAGGGCTTGCTCAATGTGAAAGGAGTATCAAGGGTATTCAAAAATAAATATAAAGTAAATCCTTACATCTCTTTAAATCTTATCTCTTCGAGCTAACATGCCAAGAGATAATGCCGGGTCGATAATTTCCCATCTCTTTCTGTTTATCCTATCTACTTAGCACTCTTTATATATAATATATATTTCTTCCAAGTGGTTATGCAAATTAAGATTATTTTTAATTTTTACTTACGAACAGTTTTGTCTCTACTAAAAACTTCTTTATTAGTAATGTCACCCTTAACATTAGCTAGAAGAGGGGCATAGGTGGCCGGACGAGCAAATAAATATTCTAATAAATTTAAGCATTTAGTTTTCGTAATCTTGTGTATTCAATTATTAGGCAGACACACCAATGGGTAAATTAATAAATGAACTTCTCCAGATCAACTCATTCCGATCAAGAATATATATATCCTTGCCTCTTTTTGATACGAGCTCATTTGATAGGGTATAAATAGTGGAAGCAGAAGTAAATAGTTGCTGCGCTTACGTTTATTGAATATTTGGGCGTATAAAGGAAAATGTTGATTACATTTTCACAAAATAGCCGCAAAATTGCGCAAAGTTTTGCAAACTTTAGCCGCAAACTCAACTAAAAACACTTTGCACATCATGCCAAATATTTAAACACACACACACACACACACATGCAGATATATATAGCTATTCATATATGGACAGTTAGTTGATTAAACCATTTTAAATCTCATCCAATGCGCAAACAACAATTGCGGCTACATCAGAAGCAGCAGCAACAGCAACAGCAGCAGCAGCAGCAGCAGCAGCAATAATAACATTTAACAAACAACAAACAAACAAGAGCCCAAACCCAAAGTGGTTTCGACTTTGGGGTTTTACGGTATTCTCGGCCGGGCTTCCACTGGGGTTTATTGCTTGTTTAATTACACAAATAACTGAACAGATTATTATGGTTAAACACGAAACTGTAATTGTCATGGCCAGTCGCAGCGTTTGCTCGGACAATTGTGAAAATCTCAGTATTGGAGCACAAAATTGTCTTCCACTTGGCGGAGATTTAACACGCTGACGGACTGTTTGGACGACTCGATTGGGAATAGCAGGACATATTTGTATTGTCATCTGATTGTAAAATGAACGTTTGTGTTATTCAAGAGGTGTTTAAAGTGCCGCAGAATAAATACACTCAATGAAATGTATTTGCAGGTCAAAAGGAACTTGAACTTATAGTGGAACATATATGTGGCTGGTTTCCTAGTAAATCTCTTCTCTCTATATAAACTTTGGAGGAGTCGTAAAAGGCATTACTTAAGTGCATAAAAAATGCCGAACGTGCCGAAGGAAATATGCCGACGTTGCCCGGTTCAAATGGAAAAATTATATAAATGCAAGAAGCGCTAAAATCGTTTGTATAATTCGCTTCAACTTCATGTACATATAAAAAGTTATCCAAATTTGTCATCTTTTATAAAATAACTATAAAACTAGAGAATTGCTGCTGAGTTTGAGCCGGCGACCTGCTGCTTACGAGTCAGACGTGACATTTGCACAGCATAAACTATTTGATGTGCATATATAAATGTATAGAAGCAATGGCTTAACTATAAAAAGCCTTCTCCGCAGAAGTCTCTTCTTTAAGGCTTCAGCCTGCGAATGAAATTCAATTCGACTGAGGAGTTAGTCAACTCTTTGCGAGTAGTTCGAGCACAAGAACAGAGCGCCATTTATCATAAATTGAGCTGCCTAAATGCATAAACATTTTAGCATATACTTTATTTATACAGAGAGTTTTGACTGGAAGACACCAACAATTTGTGGGCTTGTTGATGTATTAGTTAGTCCAGGCGGAATATGAAAATAATTTGCAATGCCGCCTGCGGCGCATCAGATCCTTTGATGGCTTCCGTTCGAAATTATTACTAATACGCCACGTAAACAAGTTCCAAATCCTTTAAAGCAGCCGACACCGACAACGGAGCCTAAAGCAGGCCGCATACGACAAAATTGAAAAGCAAAGCCAAACTCGGAAACGATAAAACAGCTCGAGCTGTGGAGGGGAGAGAATAGAGGCAGGGGGCGGGGAAAAGTGCATGCTGAGCGCAATTATGCTGGACAAACATTTACCAGCAGAGCCAAGCGATAGAGGCTAGAGCTGGAGAGCTGCCCCATCCTGACCCACTCCGCATTATCCTCTGCCAGGATGTGGCACTTAGCATGCACCTTGGCACACGCATAAACACACACAGACACACACACACACACACACACAAACAGTCCCCATCCTTGGCGCAGAGCTCGACTAGTTTTAGTGTACTCCAGTGCCTGGTTGCCAAACACAGACTTCAACAGCCGGCGTCTCGCTGTCAGTCTCCATCTCCAACTCCATTTAACCCCAAACCGGGCTCAGCCTCATCCTGACTGGGTCGTGGTACGTGTTATAACAATAGGGTGTCATGCTGGCAATATCCCCTACATCAACCCCATCACTTCCCGTCCCTCCCCCATGCTCCAAGTGCGCGACTAACACTAACGAGCAGTAAAACAAGTTTAAGATTTGCCGGCACACAAATAAAAACACAACCAGAGCCGGCAGATTTGGCCCCCCCTCCACCCCAACCCCCTGTCAGCCCCCCTCGCTTCGACGCCGTTGGCGGATGCTGAGCGGAAGCTGGGTTTTAGCGTGCAATAACATAACCAAGGCACGTAGCACAAACACGGTACATTATATTGTATAAGCAGACTTCATTACGGTATTTAAACAGAATATCCACAAATTCTGACATGTCGAATGCGCCAAGCGAATCCGAGGCACAATGGACCAAGAATGGCCAAGAATCGATTGAAATTGAAAATGAAATCGGCTTAAATGTAGATAGATAGAAAATAGATGTGTGTAGCTGCTAGCCGGGGCTTAATCCAAACGATTCTAACTATGAATTTCAATTTTTATTTAAATATGAGCGTCGAACTAAAAAGCAGCAAGTCGCCAGCTCAAATCGTGAATGCTAATTTATGTTTTAATAAGAGTTAAACCTTCAACGAAATCAGTTATTGAGTTTCTAAGCGTCGAACCGACAAGCCGAAGATCCCCAGTTCAAATCCATAATTCTCATAATAAATTAAAGGTTGCTGGTTCAAATCTGTTCGCAGCTTAATGTGAAAACAGTTTGAAAAGAGGTTTTTCAATCATTGAATGAGCGACTTTAAAAAAAGTTCCTTCTGTGCAAAGACTCGATTCGCAGGCTTCTTTCCTTCTGTCCTTTGCACACAACTTATATACCCTTTAACATTTTATCAGCCGATTATCCACATTCGAAAATATCTTCAAAATTATTTTCTGAACAAATTCTATTCTTTATCAATATTAAATCACTTTTGAAGCACAAAGTTTCCCAGCAGCCCATTGTGCCCACGGGGCGTGCCAAAAAATTACACACTAGCTTACACACACACACGCGCATACAGACAATCACAGATACCCACATCAAAAGTCAAATTGTGAGCAGTCAGGCGAGTCGAACTATATAGCCAGAGCCCGTGTCTGACTGACTCCGTGGCCGGGGTCTTGTAAAAATGCATCACGTAACCCGAAGGTTGGCCACATCGCCTGGCAATGTGATTAGACCCGCAGTCTGAGCATGGCGAAAACTTTTGTCCAAGTGGAGAGCCGAGACGAGACGCCGTACGGGCAGGCAGTTGGTGACAAGAAATCAGCGCCATATGCAGCCGTAGCCGCAGACCAAAACTAAAACTGGGCAATAAAAATTTGTCGCCAAGCCAATAAATGTTGCCCGTGGACAGGGACAAAAACAGGGCCAGGAGATTACCGAGAGTCGGCAGTTGAGAGTCGAGAAACATTTTCATTGCAGCATTTAAAGCTGCGCAAAAAAACTTGCGGCGAAATGGTGGCTCCAGCCCATTTCGTGCAATAAAAAATTGAAATTAAAACTTCCACTTTTGTTGCTTGGCCCACCTTCGCTCCGCACCTGGCCAAAAAGCCGGCGACACAGTTTTCCCACGAAATAGGTCGTAAAAATTATGAAAGCCGCAAACGGTGTCCGCTCCAAAAGGTCCCAACAATGGGACGAACCCGACCCAGCCGTCGCCCCTTCGCTGGGTTACCCAACCGGAAGGAACTCGGGCTAAAGATGTGATTCGATTAAAGTGAACGCCACAAGACGCTTTCCAAATTAAACTTATCGTGCACTTAGAACTATATGCAAATATATTAAAGTGTTTGAGTGATTGAGTGATTGACCGACTGACTGGCTGACTGATTTGTTGTCATAATTATTTTCACTGATTGAAGTGAATGATTGTTATATAGCTCAAACCACAAGATATAGAATGTTTGCATTTTTCAAGGTATAAACATTTGGTTAATAGGGAAATTTCCTCCCACTCAGATGGAAAGTAAGTAAGAAACATTTATGCGAAATTGTGCTGTTTTTCAGATTATCATTCCTAGGTGGAAAATTTGATGTAAAGTTCGTATGAGAAAATTGCATCAATTGTATATGCTTTGCACAGATTATATAAAGTCATAAAATGGAATAAAATATATCTTAAAATAAATGGAAAAAGGATTCATTTCGATATAAATATTTGACATATAATTGGCATATATGATAATATATAAAGAATTAAACGGACTTACCTACGTATTTATTGCTGCTCTTGCGGCGATTTGTGTAATTTCCTTTGCCTTCCCTGGTTGCTTGTATCCGTTATTTCTTTCTGCTTTTTCCA